AACCTATAAAATGTGGAAGCTATTTGTATAGCCCATCCCACTTAAAACTTATGGGCAAGCTAACTAGGATTTAATTTCTGCAGACTTATAGACAGACATACTAAACACAAGAAACAAAATATGTATAATAATTAGTCAAATGGAAAAAAATATACTATTTAACTGGAATAACAAAATACATTGTTATTTCAGGGACAGGAAGTGGGTAGGAAGATTGGAATCCCCCCATCCCCCCCCCCATCTGGCATTTGCTTTGTTATTTAAACAAGACTATATACTGTAGCAAGTAAAAAATGACTCTTGACATCCTCTCCCTGTAAACTTAGAAAACATTGACCTCACTATCATTGTTTTTTTATTTGTTTATTTGTTTTCATTTTTTTCTCCTGCTTGTCACGAAATTCTGGGCTGGAATTTTTTGACTGAGATGTGACCCCCCCTCCCTACTCCCGAAAAAATTCTGGATCCGCACCAGTATTGGCAGTAACTGAATGTCACATCGACAACGGGAGATAACTTCACAATATGAAATTCGTCTAGTGTGGCATGCGATGATCTTTCACCCTTTTTAAACTTTTACCTAATAGTTTGGGTGTATTTTACCCCCCACTATACTAAAACTTCTACTTACCGACTCCCTGTGTCTCAACTTCATGAAATATAAATCCAATTATAACTCAAAATGAATTAATCCAATGCACACCAGACTGCAGCCATGTGCCATTTTGGCGAACCTTCGTCGATTCCATCACCTTATCAGATGAAGTGGGAATCGGCCGAGGTGTGCCAAATGGTGTTTAATCTATAAATATGATAATGGGTGACGCAACGTGATGTGATGTAGAAATTTACATGTTCACATGTATAGTACAAGAACAAATTTTAAATTAATTCATAACAAACTATATTAAATTTTAACAAACCTTTTCCATCTAGCCTATTCCAAAAAGTATGTGCTGTGTGATTGTGGTGTCGAGGGGGGGGGGGGGTTAGTAAATTTAAAAAGGTCCTATTATGAGCAAAACATATATCAAAATCTAATTTCAGACGCGGATCCAGAAATTTTTTTCCGGGGGGGGGGGGGGGGGTCCGCCTCAGTCAAAAAAAAATCCTATCCCAGAAATTGACAATCAAAAAAAAACCTAAAGTAAATCTCACCCAAACGTCAAAAACCTATATCGTGGGGGGGGGGGAGTAATGGTGACTTCTATTGCCGCAAATTAAATGTTTAACTTTTCATACTTATTTTACACATATTCGTGTTTACCAGGGGGTGGGGGGATCTGCATTTTCCAAGGGGGGTCCATTGTAACTTTTTCCTTGTTTTAGTATATACATTTTTTAACCTTGTAAATTCCAGACAAAATTCAGACTGGTATATAATGAATTAAACATGTATAAAATAAATATAAGAGGTTCTGAGTTATTGGTCACAGGGTCTGAGAATTTCATACTCAATTTGATGAATACATGTAAATTATAGAATTATTTTGACTATTTCTTTGGAAAGCCACCCAATATGTAGGAGCGTGTATTTAGAGGCAAACACCTTAGTGCGGGTATTACTGTCTCATGACAGCATCTAGTTCTCCCTTGAATCAGAACTGATTATATAAATATTTTAAAAACAATAATTATAAGATTTGAAAAGGTTGTGCATCTTAAAATTGACTAAGTTCTGCGGTTGAATTAGCTATAAAAGTTTACTACCTTTATTTTGCTACTCATAACACCTTGATTAATTATTTTCAATCATACTGTTTTCTGAAATGTTCAGTTTTTTTTAATGATGGATACATATGTCAAACATTTTCAGCTTCTCCAAAACTTGCATAAAAAAAGCTTTTTAAATACTGTAACCATGGTAACCCTTTAAAATACTTGTGAATCCTACATTTTTAGCTCATTTGAGCTTTTCTTGTTTCCTTATCACATTACGTCTGTCGTCCATCTGTTTGTCTGGAAAGTTTTTACATTTTTAACTTCTCTACAACCACTGGGCCAATTTTAACCAGTTCACATAGAAATATGTACATCTGTATGTCAGTCTGTCAATTTGACCTTGGTCATCACGGTCATATCTATTAAATGTGAAGAGACAAGGCGTTTGTATTAAACATATGTATTAGTATTTACCTGTGACAATGGCATGATTTTTTTACCCATGACCTTGAAGTTTGACCTACTTGCAAAAAAATTACATTGCTTTAAATTTATCATTTTGGCAGAATTCATATTATACATGCATGTATATTATTACCTATGAAAAGACCTTTCTAAATGAATCATGACTCGGTGACCTTGACTGAAGCTTAACCTACTTTTCAAAAATGTTGGATTTGCTTATAACTTTTGATTGAGAAGAGTTAATGACTTTCACATTTGACATGTACATTACTCATAAGAATGCTATGATTTTTTTCCCTATGATGTTGATGTTTTACCTAATTTTCAAAATATTTAACTCTCCTAAAAGATGATGAGGCTACTGATTTGACCCCCCGGGGCAAAATGAAAATACCTAAACCTTACTGCACATCTACATGACTTCACCAACCATCTCCTAAAAGATGATTAGGCTGCTGAGTAAAATGTAGAAGGAGTCCAGTGAAGAAGGGGCTTTTAGCATAAAAAACGTCATTTTTCGACCCTTATTTGACCTCCGCGGGGCAAAATCAAAATTCCGAAACCTTACTGCACATTTACATGACACCACCAACCATCTCCCAAAAGATGATTAGGCTGCTGAGAAAAATGTAGAAGTTCAAGGAAGAAGGGGTTTTTAGCATAAAAAAAATGTCATTTTTCGACCCCCATTTGATCCCCTGGGGCAAAATCAAAATTTCGAAACCTTACTGCACATCTACATGACACCACCAACCATCTCCCAAAAGATGATTAGGCTGCTGAGTAAAATGTAGAAGGAGTTCAGGGAAGACGGGGCTTTTAGCATAAAAACGTCATTTTTCGACCCCCATTTGACCCCCCGGGGCAAAATCAAAATTCCGAAACCTTACTGCACATCTACATGACACCCCCAACCATCTCCAAAAAGATGATTAAGCTACTGTGAAAAATGTAGGAGGAGTTCAGGGAAGAAATGTGTGACAGACGGACGGACGGACATGAGTAACAACAATGTACCCGAACTTTCTTTAGAAAGTGCGGGTATAAATATAATTCTTCTTTATGTGTGCGGGTTTTTTTTTGTGTGTGTAACTAAGAAGCAATAATCACCCGATCGTACTAGGTAACTCTTCATCCTATCAATTATTATTTTTATCCTTTAATTAGATCAGTGTTTATACAAAATATAAATACAAAAAGTAAACTTTTGAATCATTTCACAGGATTAGTGTCATTTAAACCTATTCAGGTTTACGCTTTTAACTATGAGTATAGAATAATAACATTGATCTGTCAATGTGCACAAAAATAATATTTGACGACATAATCGGGCAAAATGTAACACATAATATAAAAAAATCTTTACGTATATGGTCTTCAAAATTTCATATTAAAATGTTGTAAATCGTCAAGCTTAAAATCTATTAAACAAGTAAAGTATATCCTTTTTATTTGTTTTAAAACCAAAAACTACAGGTATTCACGAGATATAGCGTGACACTGGTCACTCTCAATCACGTTCTTTACAGTCCGGATCAAGTTTTCGTCGATAATCTTCTTCCCGTCCTCCCGTGTGGTCTTTTTACAGAGGTCTAACGGTCTAAAATTTCAATAAGCTATTCGTGGAAAATGTCACAAATACCCTAGTCTACTAAATGTTTAATTATGTATATTTGGGATATATTTTGGCGATATCTCTAGCATTACACATTATTTAACAAAAGTGTGGTGCGCCGTCAATTCAGGATACATCATTTTCATAGTCGTTTTCAAGGGAATCGCATCAGAAAAAAACTCACTATATTTCTGTTAGTACTTCAAATATCATGTCAGAAATCTAAATACATAATAATAGAACAATTTAAAGATACTTTTGAGAAAATTGTCGAAAAATAATGCGAATTTTAGAAAATTAATGAGTAAAATTTTGGATTCCGCATGCTTTTGCTTCAATTTTTTTGTCGTGCTCCGTACCTTTCCATCAGCGACTTCAACATACCGATAATCTTAGTAGAATTTTTCTAAAATACAGAAATTTTGTCCAAGATTTATTGAAATCTTTACGATACATATTTCTGTGAAATTTCATAACTATATGACGTCTATTAGAGTAAATAATAGCACAGTCCGTGTAGTTTTTGAACGGCGCTCGTACAAATATACATTCTCTGCTACTTTTTCTATAACGAACGGTATCTCTTTTCAAGTGAAGATTAAAAATGACTTGCAGTAAATACATATCAACAAAAGAGAAGACCGATGCCGCCCGTCTTTCACGGTATTATTGTTTGATCCATGAACTGATCTCTTCAGGGACCTTCTCAGGAACTCTATAACTGAAGCCCGATTTCCTCATTTCCTTAGAAACTACGGGCCTACTTTATTATCGATTATCAACAAAGACCAAAGGAATTTACTGTATCCAAAACCAGGATCATTTCTGGGAACATATGAGGACTTTGATCTTTCTTTGTTATATATTTTGTTGAGAAATATATCAGGGATGCTACCCCACAAGAACGGTTGTGGTAAACAAACGGATCCAACTGACCGATACATCTCCGCCAATATTGAAAGAAAATCTAATTAAAACTGACACTATGGAGCAGGAAAAGAGATGCTTGGATGTTATTGATCAACAGCATCAAGATTTGAAGGATCTTAAAGGTTTCTATTTTCCATTTTTACGTCCAAATAGTGCAACTCTTTTTTTATTTCATAATACTAAAAATTTAATAGTATTTAAGATAAAAAAATATTCTTAATTTCTATTCTATATCATTTTATTCTAGCTTTGATAATACATTATATGTTAATCAACTAATAAAAAAGTATTATTTAAGATTCAACAACTGCGATAATAAAAGAACAAGAGAAAATAAAAGAAGAATATCAGCAGCTTCGAGCAGAACAACATATATTAAAGTCTGATGTACAACAAAGGGGGCAAGAGGTGATGTCTCATCTACACAGGAAAGAAAAAGAACTGCAATCTGCGCTTCAAGAACAAGATAGTGAAATTAAAGGTAAACATCAAAAACAAGAGGAGGAACTAAAATCCATGCTGCAAAAACAAAATACCGAAGTGAAATCTTAACAACAAAGACTAGCTGTAGAATTTAAATCTGCACTCCAAAAGCAAGATTTTGAACTAAAATCAGAAATACAGAGACAAGGATTGGAGTTAAACGCCGAGCAACTAATGCAGAAAAGGGGGATAGAAGTGGTTACAGAACGTGTTGCTTGTTTAGGTAAAACAGCTAGAAATGAACACGTACCCATTAAAACAGCTTAAAAAAGTTTGACTATGAATAATAAAAGTTTGAAACCATGTCTTTTGAATCGTTTTGAATTATATTTGTATGATTTATCAATGTATGAAGTGTTTTTGATAAAAATTTTATGAACCATTTTTCCTTAAACAGAAAAACGTCCTTGTGATAGAAGTAATATTCTCGGTAAGTCATCCGAATTCGGATTTAATCATTTAATCATTTGGAGTTCCATTTCCAACTAACGGTCAACCTCTTTAAATGTGATATTCTTACAAACTGTATTTATTATTCGGATTTTGCTTATTTCTATGCAATGCATATTGAAGGTATTTACATGATTTATGAAAGTATGAATATGATGTTTAGATAATTATATCACAAGGTCTGGTGAGCTTATTTTCATAATCGTCCTTTTGCAGACAATACCACAGCTGTTCTTCAAACTCAAAAAACCCGAAGCGTATATATAAGAACATCAGCTGTAGATAAAATAAGAAAAAAACTCGAAGAAAATAAAATCCTAATTCTAAGAGGGAAAGCAGGATGTGGGAAAACAACCACAGATTACCAAGTGATGCTTGAGCTGTCAGAAGAATCTTCAGAGCCGCCCTATGATCCTGCCATTATACATTCTCCCGATGAGTGGAACAAAGTTATCAACCCGTATCAGCGACATATCGTTCTTCTTGATGATTTCATGGGATCTTCGAATTTAGATAGAGACGCCCTTGATAAATGGAAGTCGAACTTTGATGCAATAATTGCATGTGCTACGAATGGTCAAGTTTTATCACTGATAGGTTTAAGAAGGAACATTCTAGACGAAGCAGAAAAATATGAAACGAAAGGCTTTTTGACAACATCACAGTAATTAACCTCTCTATGGACCAGAATTTTACATTGGAAGATAAGGAGAAAATGTTTGCAGCTTATGAAGCAAAGTGCTGTTTTAAAGACTCCATTGACTTGAATTGTAATGAAAGAAGCAAAATAATATCTACTGTTCCATATTATGGATTTCCCTTGACATGTTTTCAATTCTTTTCTAATCGCAAATTCTATCAACTTGGTCCCGCCTTCTTTTTACATCCAAATGAGTTGATGTATAATGCGAAAGAATACATGCGTAAATCGAAATCCGAATACAGTGAAAAAGTATCATATTGTGTTCTTTGTTATGTGTTTATACAATGTAACATTACAAAGAATGCTATCAGTTTTGATTTGTTCAAAAGTATTTGTGAACAACTGAGAATTTCTAATGTACCTGACATAGATATTTGGGATGCGATTGATGATTTAAATGGTGTGTATCTATCAGAAACAAAAACATAAAACGAATACGTATTTTCACATGAAACAGTTTTAGAGACCGTTGTGGTGTCATTTGGACAGTTAGCTCCTGATATAATAATAAAACGTTGCAGTATGAAAACATTTAATGAATTTATTCGTACAGAAAACTATGATTGCAAACCTGGTGAAGTCGTCCTGAAAATACCGCAGAGTCACTTTGAAGACTTGGCACAAAGAATTTTATTTGGAGACGATAGTGACGATTTTGGAGGGAGTATCTGTTTTCAGCATCATGTGTGTCATGATCCGGAGTTTTTATCCGCATTGTGAAATCGCGATATCTCCCTTAGATTTGCATTCATTCTTTCCTTTCTGTGCGAGGAATTCCGTGACTATTTATACTTTAATGATGCTCTCGTAAAGAAGATGCTACAGTTTTATGGTCCACACTTTCTTACTTCGGAATCCATGCAAAGATATAGACATATAAAGGACAAATTAAAAAAGCCTTCTGAAAATACGATGCCGATTGTTTTAACCGATGAACAATTATCCATTCCAAATTTATCTTTCAATGAACTTCAATGAACTTGATAGAATTTCTCAAGAGGGATTACCTTTTGTAATTTCACGTTACTGCCTTGCAAGTGCTTTGTCCGGTTGTCTGGCTCATTATAAATGTGAAACCATTGTTTTTTTCTATCCTTCATTACATCAAATCACACCAAAACCTGTATGACCTACTCGGTATACTTTACGTACCGATGCCTGTATTTGAAAATTCTTTCATTATTACAAATCCCTTATATGGAAGTCGAAAGGTACCTCCACTTCATCTGTGTGTGTTACATGGATGGGAGAAAAATGTGGAAATTATTCTGACAACAAATAAACCGACAACGACATCAAACGACTGGACATGCGCTCATGTTGCTGCATACGCCGGCCGGGCGTCCTTGTTGCAGAAGTTTATGAATCTTGAACAGGATGTGATAAAGAGAACAACTGAAGGATACGCTGTGTTCCAGACAGCACTTCTCGGTCTGCGGAATGGATCCGGGGTTGTTCCTGAATGAAGAAACAAATCGGGAAAATGCTTTCTTAATAAACACCTTGATGATTTCTTATTTTTACGCAGTGTTTCATTTCCAGGAGAAGATGGTTTTGATAAAGTTATCCGTATTCTACTAAACACCAAAACCATTTGTGTCACCGATGAACTTCTTATGGAAATAGACGATTTTGAAAACGGTATAGCTCATTATGTAGTGATCCATAACTATCATGATATACTTTGTCACCTTCTCGAATATTGCAAATTTTTGTCTTTCAACGTAATAAAAGTGAGCTCCCCACAGCAATACACCTTGCTGTATACCTTGGTAGACGGAAGCTAGTGTTAGCACTGTGGGAGGCAGGAGTACGTCCAGGGAACTCGGATCTCTCTTTATTGGAGACGCTTGATAGTGGAAAGAAATTTTGCAAAAGAAAAATCGAATGCTGTGATTTATGGGGGGGATGAGGAAGAAACATTTTGGAACGAAAACAGACAAGAAATTACAGACATTAAACTTCGATGTGTTGACTTTGGGAGCATTAAATTTGGGAGCAATGACAACTATCACGGTGTGAGATGTTTCCTCCAGGGTTAAATTGAAATTTAATTAGCCCTTTTTAACTTATTTATAAACTTGTTAAATGTTAGTGGAATTTAAATGTAAGGCTTATGATATTTTTAGATCCAATCATCATTCTTCTGTGTCATTAATTAGTACATTTTTAAAATAAACTTTTGTATTTTTGTTTTATTTTAGATACTCATCAAATCTTGAAATGAAAAGAAAGCATGTACATATATGCCAGTATACAAGGGTACAACTGTACAGAGGTTATATATACAGATATAGAAGTGTGATCAGGAGCCCATGACGAAGAAGCATCTCCCGTTAAAATCTCTATTAACTCAGACGAATTCATCCCCTTTTCATGCAAAAGACAGAGAAAGCTAATGCTAGAACAATAGACTAATTTAAGGGCAAGATCTTGTAAAAAAAAAAAGGTGCCTACAGAAATATCAAATCTAAGAAATATATTCCTTTATTGATGCTCTATTTTTAAACCAAACTTTAGCTGGGTCAAATAAGTTGTTTCAAGACAAAATTTGTAGGTAAACAAGATGAAAAATCATATTCTAAACTGTCATTTCCAATGCAAAATTAAGAAAATCAGTCATGAATATGGGAGTATCAGACAAAGAAAATGAATCCAGATTGCCTTAAGTCATTCAGAAAACATTTGCTCTTTGCCTCTTCTTTAAAAAATGTCAAATTTAATTTAGGTTTCGGGACTACTTTTCAAGTGGTTTTTAATTGAATTCCATGCAAATGCAACTGTACTTTATTTTCTACAAAATAAAATAAAAATAAAATATAGAAATGCAAGTCACGTCTGCTTAATCTAGTTAAGGTAGATCATCCATGTCAGGAGAGGAAAATTGATCTGTGTACTATGTGTATATATTTCTCTTTCATTTTTAACAATCTACTAAAAATCTAAAATATGCAGGGTAAACCATAGTTTTCTAAATTTAATTTAAATTTTTAATTATTATGTAGTGTTTTCGCCACAACGACAAAATATATAGTTTCCAATTCAGTTCCAGTGGACCCCTTGTATGCAGTCTCAATTAAAACATTAACTTTATCTTGATTAACATGATTTATAGGTTGGATTGGTCGTAGATAGACCGAAGAATTTATTCAGTTGTATATAAAGCAACTAATTGTATTCAAGTTTTATTGTTTATATTTTACATACGTGAACAAAAAAAGGCGCCTTTGAATCAAATGCCAAATGTTTTATATACAAAACATTTCATCTGTTTAAGGATACTAACAGTACGTTTTTACAAAGATTTCGAAATGAGACATAGTTTACATAATATAAGGTCGGAATACTATGCGTGAAGGTAAATAGCAAATATTATTCCATTATTTAATTTAAAACATTTGTAAGAGAAGATTAGAATGCTGACACAGTGAAAGAAAAATAGGTCGATATATTTGATTTTCCTTTGACCTCATAAAAATAAATTAAAAGAAATTACAAAGAAAAAGGGATTCAGAATTTCTGTACATTGCCTTTTTCTATATACAATGGTTAACATTTTAAAAAGTTTTGAATTTTCCCTAACGCGACTATGCTAAGGTAGCTCTAAAAACTCAAAGAAACTTCTTTTTTGACTTGGAGAAATATATATCAGATGACAATAAAATAGCGTAAACGAGCATGCAGGGTTACAACTGTGCTGTCGCCCTTTGAATGAAATTACAGTGGTTTAATTATGAGTGAGATAACTATAATTACACATGTACAATTGCTAAACATGCGGGATCGGTAAACAATAAATTTCAACGATGACGTCAACGTTGTCTGTTGACATATTTTGAAATCTGGAATCGGAGAAGAGTAGGAGAACAAAAGTCTAAAGAGGTTTGATTGCTATTTTCTACTCCATCTAATTGAATATGTTGACGGTGCGACCGTTAGAGCGAACGCAAACTCTTCTATTGTTTTGATTGAGATCGGGCTCGTCAAACCGCACATGACATTTGGTGCGTCTAGACTCTGATGTCACATGACGTATGTAAGTCGCAATATACCGAGAAAAAGCCTGAACAGTGCTGAAAGTTAATGAAGAACGTTTTATTTTCTATTTAGTATATATCCATTTAATCAAGGCGAGTAACCTTTTTGTTGAACATTTGCCGTGATTCTCGCGAGAACGTAGCTAAAACAAGTGACCAAATTTTCTCTTCGCACAGGCGTTGCTTTAAGAGCTCGCTATGTGAGCGGCGCTGCGCTTGCTATAATTTAGATTCATTAGAATAAGAAAACGCACTCGGGTGACAACCCTACTCAGATCTATTAATTGGTTATGCCTTCCTTCTAAACAGTCCATAATTGTATCAATTCCTTCCTAACTGAGTTATTACCGTTATTCAGCCTATAAATTTATTATTCAAATAATTTATATCATTAAGTTTTTATCAATTTTATCAATATAAAATTTTAATACAATAAACTTTTTATCTTTCCACTTGTTAAATGTCATTAAAAACTTATTTACGCTTATGCTAATTCCATTGTTATACTAATAAATAATATATAATATAAGAATTGATTTGTAGAGAGAGATATCAATAAACATTCTTTGCTACTTTGTCTTTAACTAACGATTTCTCTTTTCAGGTGGAGATTTAAAATGGCCTGCAGTAAATACATATCAACAAAAGAGACAACCCACGCCGCCCGTCTGTCAAGATTGTTGTTGGATCCATGCACAGATCTTTTCAGGGATCTTCTCAGGACCTTCATCACTGAAGCCCAATTTCCATATACCCTTCCAAATCACAAAGCTTCTTAATGACGAATCATCAACAAAGACCAAAGAAATTTACTTTATCCAAGATCAGGGACATTCTCGGGAACATATAATGAATTTGATTTGTCTTTGTTATATATTTTATTGCGAAATATATCAGGGATACCTCCCCACAAGAATGGATGGGGTAA